AGAGAGAGAGCAACTTCGGATTCTAGCAAAGACGACAGGAGATTATAACGGATACTAGAGGAAAATTAATTTTGGTCTTCCATCGTTGAAAGTCCAAAAGGGAGCTTGCTCACTCGGTGAACTTCTCGATAGCAAGTAATTCACAGCACGTGCTGCACTGCATTTGAGGAAATTGCAACGAACGTTATACTCGTTCTCTTCTCTCGTCCTTTGAACAGTCGAATTTCAAAGAAACCCACAACCGCTTCTCGATTCTCACTCATTTCTGTTTGTGGGGCTTTATAAGCCAAACTATCGCTAACTAATAAATTGACATTGATTGTGTCCTATTATATGATCTTACTTTTTTATACAATCGAAAATTATCTAATCTTGATATATATATATATATATATATATATTTATATTAAATCATTAAGTATGAAACGTCTGATTATTCCTACTACTTTTAGTTCGAAATCAGACATTTCGTACTTAATGACTTAATATTTATTTTTATATCGAATCTACATATACGATATGAAAAACGTAGTAATGATCAACCCCCATTTTTCTTTTATATACACGGAAACACTTGTGAAATCGTTTAAAAGTCACGATCTTCTTAGAATTTTGGTTCCTACATGGACTTTGAATGAGTGCATAGAAATAAGCGGGTTGAAAAAACGTTTTCTTATGAAAATCTCTTCTGAAGTAAGTATATATTATATAGTGTAGGAATATAAAGCTGAAAGAAAAGAACAACATTCTTTTTTTTTATACTTGGTAGTGCAACCTGCTTACATTATCGCCGTTACATTGCACAAGAATAAAGAGTTTGGCTCGCGTGTTTACCGGTGTGTCTCGTTACTTTATTCCTGAGAATTTATTACGATGAAATTTATTACCTTCGAGATTTAACGGGAGAGTCGAGTAAGATAGATTAAGATATAGGAAAAAAGATAGAGAGAGAGAGAAAGAGATAGAAGGAAAGAAAATTAAGTTAAGAATTTTTACGAGGAAATAAAAATTCATCGAAATATCCTTAACGAGATCTTTCTATTCGTCAATTAGATTGATTAATCGTTTCTAATAAAAATTCGGTAAATTTAACATTTCAAATAGAATTTTCAATTGGTGGGATGCGATATAGTCAACGAACGAATAGTATATTCTCTTATTCGGTCTCTCATATTTTATGCCCGTCCTGGATCATATTTTTCATCCGTTTTATTCTTTTTATAATGCTCAATGAAATATTTCTCTTGTTACGCAAGCTCGACGCGAAGGATATAATATTTACAAGATACGCGCAACGTTAACAACCTGGGGTGGAAGCAGGGATTGAGGCTAGGAAAATCGATTCCGCGAATCTGCATGAAGAGGAGATTGAACGGATATCGTGTTGGCATTATTCATGTCTGTGTGCAAGCTATGAACTTATTATTTCGAAAAATGTGTAGTATATTCTTTTTGTTCATGCCACGAACAGACCAATCGACAAAAGAGATTATCTTTCTCCTCACGTATACGAACAACTTGTTTCGAATCTTTTTCTCCGATTTCCCCACCCATTTCGATTTCTTTCTTTCCATCCCTTCACCACCACCCCTGCCCGCCCCCCTCCCAAAAAAAAGCAATTTTCCAAACTAGCAATAAACTCGCATTAGATAACGAATCCGATGATATTTTTTTAGCTAAAGTGAGATAATTATTTTCGATAGAGTACGTATATTGCATGTGCTACAATGTGTGTATTTGAAACCATTCAATCAATATCTCTATATTGTATTTTGTTGAAAATATTTATATTAAAAATAATGAAGAGAAACGGATATTTCCAACATTTATTATCGATTAGTATATTTTTCAATATTTCAATAAACCAGGTGAAAACTATATAATATTTATAATGGTTAACGTCAAACTATATTGGAAATATGACAAATAATATTTTTATCACACGTACTTATACGTTTTATACTCCGATATTTGTTCTATAATATGTAATATTATTTAATCGATATCGCATATATAACAATTAATTTGTATAATAATTAATTACAAAAAAGAGATACTTAAAAATATAGAAGAAAAAAACATGGTCCATGAGAATGAGTCAAATATGAAACGTAATTTGTTTGTTTGTTTTATCGATAGGAAGAAAGGAAGAAAGAGAAAAAAGAAATTGCATTCGTCAAATAGGTGCAGTAAAAAAAAAAAAAGAAAAAAAGAAAAGAAAAAAATCGTGGTAGGTGTATTATAGGGATAAAATAGGATGAAGGGTTGGAAAAAAATGATCAACCATCGTGGGTCGTGGGCACTGTTAACGGATAACGAGCAGTTCTGCTTACGTCGAAAGAGCAAAGAGCTGGGGACGATAGCATTTGAAGAAGTAGAAGGAGAGGGGGACAAGGGGGTAACGGGGTAGGGGTGGTAAAGAGGAGGTCGTATTTTCAAAACCAATCGGGTGTTACAGGGTGCGCAGGGTGCGGCCAAGAAGCGAATGCTCTCTCGACGTCGCCGACAGGGTGGATGGGGGGGTGGGTTCGGTGAGGGGTTGCTGAGAGAGAGAGAGAGAGAAAGAGAGAGGGTGGGGGCTTCATCGATTTCTTACCCCGTGGCCTAGTAACGCGTTTCGTACATCCGCTGTACAGTCATTGGGTGTAGCCCCGGCACGTTTTCGCGGCCTCACTCCAAGAAAACAGGGTGTGAACCCCGAATAATCTTTAATTTTCGATCACACTTTTTCAGATCATTTTTTCTCCCTTCCCACCCCAATCTTAAGTATTAATCATAAATATTTTATATTCATTAATATACTCGTTTAATTAAAGTACATTATTTCATGTAATGGCTTTTTTTTCTTTTTAAATTATCCATTCGTATATAATATTATTTTTTAGATAGGATAAAGAAAATTAAATTATGAAAGGTTAACGGTTGATATTTTTAACGATTTTAAATAATGGTTTGCTTTGAACTACCTTAGGATGGATCGGTCGCAACCATTTATCAATCAATTCATTTTGTTTCATCGATAGTTAATATATGTATATATATATATATACATATATATATATATATATATACATGTATATTTATATCTATGTAAACATACATACACATGTATGAAGACCTGCGGTTATAAATGGCACATGGTTAGATATTATTTCATCGGTATTTTATCAAATTTCACATAATATAGATAACATCTACGATCTTATTCTATTACGAATATATTCGTATGCGCAAATTACTTCTCTATCTATGAATAGATACGACGACGAACAATGACGTCAATTTTATACAAATTGTATGTGTATTATTTGTACGTAAAAAAGAAAAAAATTATTCAAAGACGTGCTATATATGGAATGACAAACAGAATCGATTATTTGTTCTTTTTTTTTTTTTATTTCCATCGTTGATTTGTCCTATTTTATATACTTACAAGAAGGCACCCTTGACGTGAAGTAATATTTGTCGAAAGAATAAAATAAAATAGAATATATATATTTCGACTGGATTGAAAAGAAACTCGAAAAGTTTTCCCTTTTGGAATTTATTTTAGTGACAATTCTATGTACCGAGTATGGAATTCGTAGAAAATATAATATAACGGTAAAACAATTTTCCAGTTTAACTCGATTTCTATTTCTAACTTTTCTTCTCAATTGGAAATAGAAATAAAATGTTTTATCGTCTATTGTTATTAACACACCTTTGATTCGTCTACTTCGATAAAATTTTTAAATAAGTTTTTTCTTTTTTTTTTTTAAATATAATTCAATAACTATTTATTTACAATGAAAAAAAGTTTAACGAAAAATCGTTCGGTTCGTTTGAATTCGTAAAAAAGGGGCTTTTTAAAGTAACGTAAAATCTTTACAATATCAATTCTATACAAAATTGTTTTATCGGTTGATCAAATGGTTGATTAATGATTAAACTCGTAATGAAAGTAGGCCGAGAGAGGAAGGAAACAAGGAAAGAAAAAAAAGACACACAGAAACGATCTTGTCATAACAGTGACTGGAAAATAAAGAAGCCCATGAGAGAGAATCGTCAGTGGCAGGAAAGTAATTACCGTGCTGAAGTCTACATAGCATAATTAATACTCTGACTAACAAGGAAGATCCGTGAAGTGGTCTTCTTTGAATCTGATGGAGCTTTACAGATTGATAAAGTACATGAAAATAAGAGAAATTCGTGTTCTCTTGTAATTTTATTTTCAAACAAAATTATCGTATATAAAGATGCTCATTTATCTATTCATTCAATCATTAAAATCATTGACTTGATTAAAATTTGTGGTAAATTGTTTATAAAAATTGTTGAACCATCGTTTAAACATATTGTAATTAAATAGATAACACGTTATCTTTAAAAATGATCTTTGATAAATTTTTAATTTAATTGTTTATAAAAAATTATTAAACAATTGTCTAAGCAGATTTTAAACAAGTAGAAAACACGTTTTCTTTAAAATTATACTTTTGTTATATACCTAAAAATTGTTTATAACAATTTATTTATAAACGATTGTTAGGCAAATTTTTCTAAACATTATAAAAATGGTTCTTTTGCGAAATTTCTATCATGTTTAGTTCCTGAGATATTCTCATTACATATTAGACGTTTACTTAAAGTCATTGACTTATTCAATTTCATTCATTAATCATTGACACAGTGACCCAGTGACCTACATAAATTTTTAGAATTTACGCATTTACGTGCATATGAATACGAATTATGAATGAAAATCTTTAAATATATAAATCTCTGGAAAGAAACGTCGTAGAGACACGAACAAAGTATCGTTTTAATCAGGAAACTGCTAGTTTTTCATTGAATTATTTCAATATTATCGATATAATAAAAAAAAATATTGTTAATATTATTTAAATGCATATACGATGGATATACACGTATTCAATGAATTGTATGTAATATATACGTACAATACAATTAAACATTTTCCACATAGAAACGATTATAAAAAAAAAATCTACAATAATGTTATATTATTTAATTTCCAGTAACGAAATTCATTCGGATTGGAATAGCCGACAAGAACGACAACCCACCTTACTTCGACAAAAGCCTCTACGAGGCTGAGGTAGACGAGAATGAGGACATTCAACATACAGTTCTTACTGTCACCGCCAAAGACCACGACGAGTGTAAGCATAACTCGTATTGTTTTCTTACAATAACCGCAAAGAATAATAGTAATAGTAGTAGTAGTAGTAGTTGTTGCAACAACTTTCTGAACTTTTTTCGAAATACTTTTTGATTCTGGCTGGTATGTGTTTTACGATACTAAAGTTTCTTTTCGTCAAATTTATATTCATAGACTAGAAAAGTTTTCTTAAGAATTTAAAATAAAAAAGAAAATACTAGCAAGTTGAAAGATATTTTACAGCAATAATTCGCGTAACCAAAAAAAAAAAGAAAAAAGAAATAAAATAATAAACGTAAAGAAGGAACACGATCGAAAAATTCAATTTTTTTTTCTAGAGAATAACAAAATCTTTTTCATTAACTTTCTTTTCTTCTTTTTTTTTTTTTTTTAATTCCATTTCACACAGCCTCGCGTATTCGATACGAGATTACGAGCGGTAACGTAGGCGGTGCATTTGCTGTGAAGAACATGACCGGCGCCATTTATGTCGCCGGTGTTTTGGATTATGAAACCAGGAAAAGGGTGAGTCAATGAATCCTAACTTTCTATAAAATCTTACACAACAAAATGTTTTGCTTTCAAGCTAGGATTTGAAAGCATTCCATTGAGTGGGTAACTTTATCATTCTTTTCATGAAAATAACATTTGGAGAGTAGTATTAATTCATGGAATTTGATCTAAATGCAGTAGAGGATCAAGGTAGAATTTGATTGCATAGTTTCCATCTTTTTATTTCAGTACGAACTTCGTCTCACAGCATCGGATAGTTTAGAAGAGAATAATACAACAGTTGTGATACACGTGAAGGATGTAAATGATAATCCACCTGTCTTTGAGAGACCGAATTATAGAACCCAGATAACCGAAGAGGATGATAGGAATTTACCCAAACGAGTGCTCGGGGTAATGTGGTTTAAACTTTCCTTCCTTTCTCATTTTATTTCATTTTTGTTTTCTTTTCTTATTTTGTTTTGTTTCCTCCAATGGCATTTATCTTTTTTCTCACGAGAGATTCATCTCAAAAAGGAATGGGATGTTTAAATATCGATTCGATTGGATTTAGGTCACTGCAACCGACGGGGATAAGGATAGACCTCAAAACATCGTATATTTCTTGACGGGACAGGGAATCGATCCAGACAACCCGGCCAACAGTAAATTTGACATCAATCGGACTACAGGAGAGATTTTCGTCCTCAAAGTAATTCATCCATACTTTCTTTTTCTCAAAAATTAAACGAAAACATTCAATCTTATAGGAGAGATCAATGTTTAAAATAATACAAATATAACATGAAACTAAAAAATGTATTAAACTTCTTACGCGAAAAATCCATTTACAATTATTAGATACAATATTTGTATTGGATGTGAAATACACTTTTAGGTATATAAAATGGAAGAAATATATTGGGATGATTATTATTATTATAATTATTTTCATAGCCACTGGATAGAGATCAACCGAATGGACGACCTCAATGGCGATTCACTGTTTTCGCTCAGGACGAGGGTGGGGAAGGTTTAGTAGGATACGCCGATGTACAGGTCAACCTCAAAGATATTAACGATAATGCACCGATATTCCCACAGGGAGTATATTTTGGTAACGTTACCGAAAATGGAACGGCAGGTTAGTATAAAATATTATCATATTATAAGTACACACACGTATTCCATTTTCTTCTTTTCTTAGGATCACGTTCGTAGTAAAGAACGGTAAATGTTTAACATTAGAATTTCATAAAGATTACTCTCGATAGAAAATAGTTTCCCGATTATTATTTCTAATAATCGAAAAATATGATTCTTTTTAAATAGGTATAATATAATATATATTTATCTTTTCATTTTATATAGGAATGGTCGTAATGACCATGACCGCGGTAGATTACGACGATCCTAGCGAAGGTACCAACGCTAAATTAGTTTACTCAATCGAAAAAAATGTTATCGAGGAAGAAACTGGAACACCGATATTCGAGATCGAATCTGAGACGGGGGTCATCAAGACGGCTGTTTGCTGTTTGGACAGAGAACGTACACCGGATTATTCTATACAAGTTGTCGCGGCGGATGGAGGGGGGTTAAAGGGTAATCAAAGGATAATTACATAACATCGTTGAATTATGTTAAATTCATGCAAAAGCACTGTATTAACGATTGATATTTATATACGAGTCAAAAGTTTATTACCATTCATTTTTCAATAAAACCCAAATAAAAATGATTATAGTAATATGATAATTTAATTAGGTACGGGTACGGCATCGATACGAGTTAAAGATATAAATGACATGCCACCACAATTTACGAAAGAAGAATGGTTTACCGAAGTAGACGAAACCGAAGGACCTGATTTACCCGAAATGCCAATACTCACCGTAACTGTTCACGACGAAGACGAAACCAATAAGTTCCAATACAAGGTATCATCCTTTTATTTCAAATGAATCTTTCTATTTAATAAATCGTTATCAACGATTTTTACGTAAAGTCTAATTTCGATAGGTAATCGAGAGTAGTGGTTACGGTGCTGACAAATTTACTATGGTGAGAAACAACGACGGTACTGGCTCATTGAAGATAGTTCAATCTCTCGATTATGAAGATCAATTGCAAAGTAATGGTTTTCGATTTAGAATACAAGTAAACGATAAGGTACGTTGAAAGGATTCTATTAGAAAATTTCTTACAAGATCGAACGAACGAACGAATTACATTGTATTTTATGTGTCAGGGGGAAGACAATGACAATGACAAATATCACGTTGCTTATTCCTGGGTGGTTGTCAAATTAAGAGACATCAATGATAATCAACCACAATTTGAAAGAGCCAACATCGAAGCTACTGTCCCTGAAAATGCTAGAATCGGGAATACTCTGGAAACGTTCAAAGCTACAGATCCCGATCAAGGTGGTAAAAGTAAAGTATCCTATTCGATCGATAGAAGTTCCGACAGGAAAAGGCAATTCTTTATCAACGAGAATGGTACGGTATCCATTCAAAGGAGTCTCGATCGCGAGGACACCCCACGTCATCAGGTATAAGTTTTACACATTATTTAAACAAAAATATTCTCTGTCAATCGATATAAAAGTACACGTTTTTCCAATGATATTTCCAGGTTAAAATCTTGGCCATCGACGACGGTATACCACCAAAAACTGCGACAGCTACTCTGACAGTTATCGTTCAGGATATTAACGACAACCCGCCTAGATTCCTTAAAGATTATCGACCAATCTTGCAAGAACATCTTCAAACGAGAAAAGTCGTTGAGATTTTAGCCACCGACGACGACGACAGATCCAAAAGCAATGGTCCACCGTTCACTTTCAGAATGGATCCAAACGCGGATGATATTATCAGGGCTAGTTTCAGAGTCGAAAGCGATAACAGTGAGTTAGATTGTTCCAACGATTTTAATATATTCCATTGAAATTATACTATAAATCATATTTTAATTTTATACTATGACATATTACACGTTGCGCGTTTGTGTTTTCAGAGGGAGCAAATGGAGATGGCATGGCTATAGTTTCGTCTTTACGATCATTCGACAGAGAACAACAGAAGGAATACTTGATACCTATTGTTATAAAGGATTCTGGAAATCCTTCGATGTCTGGAACAAGTACATTGACCGTTATAATCGGTGACAGTAACGATAATAAAATGCAGCCTGGTTCTAAGGACATTTTTGTATATAATTATGCAGTAAGTAGATGATCAATATTATGCAAATGTAATAACATTTGTCGCGTTGTCTAATCGTAAGGGTGATTTAATTTTAAGGGACAATCACCTGATACCGAGATAGGTAGAGTATACGTTTACGATTTGGATGATTGGGATTTGCCGGACAAAAAGTTTTATTGGGAAAGTTTAGAACATGCGCAATTTAAGTTAGACGAAGATACCGGAATGATATACATGAAATCTGGTACGCACGACGGGAGATATCATCTTCGTTTCAAGGTTTATGATCGAAAACACACGCAAACAGATGTACCTGCGAATGTAACAGTCATAGTTAAAACTATACCTCACGAAGCTGTTCTTAATTCTGGATCCGTTCGTATATCGGGTATTACGGATGAAGATTTCATACGTGTTTGGGATTATAGGGTAAATATATAAAGAAAATTTTGATTACGTACATATCGTTATAATCATGATATCCATTTTATAGTCGCAGAATTTATCTCGAAGTAAGGCAGATTTGTTCCGAGAAAAATTAGCACAATTGTTAAGCATAGATAAAGAATACGTCGACGTATTTAGCGTTCAATTGCGAAGGATGCATCCACCTTTGACTGACGTTAGATTCGCTGCTCATAGTTCCCCTTATTATAAACCTGTAAGACTAAATGGAATAGTCTTGATGCATCGGGAAGAGGTAACGAATTTCATTCATTTATTTCAATTCATACATTTTCTTACGATGTGACTTTATCGATTTAAAATTAGATTGAAAAAGATGTTGGAATAAACATCACTATGGTCGGAATCGATGAATGTTATTACGAAAATGAAATGTGCGAAGGCAGTTGCACCAACACCCTTGACATCAGCAATTTACCTTACATGGTTAATGCCAATAAAACAGCTTTGGTTGGAGTTAGAGTCGATGTGATAGCCGAATGTACGTGTGGTGCAAGAAACTTTAGCAAAAGTGAATCATGCCGAAGCAGTCCTTGTTACAATGGTGGCCGTTGTATCGAAGGAAGATTCGGTTTATCGTAAGTAACAAACTTTCTTGAAAATCGTTAACTTTAATTAAATTCTTTATCAATAAAGATAAATCGATAGGTGTCAATGTCCTTCCGGATATAACGGGCCAAGGTGTCAACAAACGACTAGAAGTTTTCGTGGCAATGGTTGGGCTTGGTATCCAGCTCTGGAAATGTGCGATAATAGTCATTTAAGTTTTGAATTTATTACCAAAAAATCGGAAGGATTGTTATTGTACAATGGTCCTATTGTTCCACCGGAATCCGATGAGATTATGGTATCTGGTGAGTTAAAAGTTTTCAATAGATTTTCTTTGCATTGTTATATTTGACAATTCGTCGTCATTATTATCATTCAGCCACTTTAGTTCACTACTGGACTTAAGTCTTCTCTAATATTTTTCCAATTTTAAAATCTAAATTACCATTTGAGAAAGATTTGGCATTAAAATAGGAGATAGAATGTGGTGTAAAATGGATTAGAACATGATTTCGCATCCATGAAGTAGATCTGTTTCCGCTGAAATTACAAAATATATCTGCTGCCCTCGTTCTTTGACAAGTTTTTTTTTTTCATTTCATTGTAGATTTCATATCGGTCGAATTAGATCGCGGAATACCAAGACTTTTGATAGATTTCGGATCTGGCACTTTGGAATTAAAAGTCAAACCTAAGAGAACCTTGGATGATGGAGAATGGCACAGACTCGACATATTCTGGAATACGGAGGTCTAATAATTTCCATTCGATTAAATCTGGTAAAGTTTGAGTGAAGCTTGTTACGAATAATCCTTGTATATTGCAGACGGTAAAGCTTATCATCGATTACTGTAAATCTGCTGAAATAACCGAATTAGAAGATGGTACACCTTCAGAATTTAACGACACGTATTGTCAAGCACAAGGCACAGTGCCACCGTTCAACGAATACTTAAACGTAAATGCACCACTTCAAATTGGTGGGCTTTACGTTGAACAATTCGATCCAACTCATTACAAATGGAAACACATGCCCGTTGGGAAAGGTTTTGATGGTTGCATAAAGAATCTATTTCACAATAGTAAACTTTACGATCTGGCTCATCCCGGATTATCGAGGAACAGTTTTGCGAGTTGTTCGCAAACCGAAGACATTTGCAATAGTCAAGAATTGACGCTCCGTTGTTGGGAACACGGGACGTGCGTTGGTAATTTTTCCGAAGCAAGATGCCAATGTAATCCTGGCTGGACTGGTCCTGGTTGTATGACTTCAACGATACCAACAACATTCAAGCCACAGAGTTACGTCAAATATGCATTATCTTTCGAACCCGACAAATATTCGACTCAGGTGCAATTGAGATTTCGAACACGAGAGGTGCACGGTGAACTTTTTCGAGTGAGCGATCAGCATAACAGAGAATATGCTATTTTGGAAGTACGTCAATTCCATTGATTTTAATTCCTATGTATTTGTATTTAAATTTCTAACGATTATTGCATTATTTTCTATTACAGATCAAGGATAGCCGATTGCACTTTAGATACAACTTGAACAGTCTCAGAACTGAGGAACGAGATATTTGGTTAAGTGCGATAGCAGTGGACGATGGTCAATGGCATACCGTCAGAGTATCCAGATATGGTTCGGCTGCGACCTTGGAATTAGATGGTGGAGAAGGAAGAAGATTTAACGAGACATTTTCTTTCGAAGGCCATCAGTGGCTTTTGGTTGACAAACAAGAAGGAATTTATGCTGGAGGAAAGGCCGAATATACAGGTGTAAGAACTTTCGAAGTGTATGCCGATTATCAGAAAGGTAAATTTAATTATTATATCATCGGAACGATTTCTTAATTCTTAGTTCGATTGAATTTCGTTGGCAGGTTGTTTGGACGATATTAGATTAGAAGGCAAACATCTCCCATTACCACCGGCTATGAATGGAACACCATGGGGTCAAGCAACAATGGCGAGAAATCTTGAACGAAATTGTCCGTCGAATAAGCCCTGTGCCAATGTCATTTGTACGGAACCTTTCGAATGTATCGATCTCTGGAACGAATACGATTGCACGTGAGTTGTCTCGTTTAATCGTCGATTATAACATAATTAAAAAGAAAGCAACAACAACAACGTGTATGAATTTATTTTGTAGTTGTGGCGAAGGAAGAATACCCTCGCCCGATAACAAGGGTTGCATGGATAAAAATGAATGCATAGATTATCCTTGCCTGAATGGTGGTAGATGCATCAATCAAGATCCACGATATCGATATCGATGCATTTGTCCCGAAGGATTCTGGGGTGAAAATTGTGAATTGGTACAAGAAGGTCAAACGTTGAAGCTCAGCATGGGAGCACTTGCAGCCATTCTAGTTTGTTTATTAATTATTCTTGGTAAGTATTCACAAATATAATAACTCGAATTATCGTATTGAAAAATCAGGATATTAATAAATTTGCTACGTTAATCGTAGTTTTGGTGTTGGTATTCGTCGTTTACAACAGAAGAAGGGAAGCTCATATTAAATATCCTGGGCCTGACGACGACGTTAGAGAGAATATTATTAATTACGATGACGAAGGTGGTGGAGAAGATGATATGACGGCGTTTGACATAACGCCATTGCAAATTCCAATTAATGGTCCTATTCCAGAAATGGGTGGAAAATTAGCACCGTGTAAAGTAGCCTGTAAGTTAATAAGATATTATTTAACTTTTTCAAAATAAATTAAAACGAAACATACGAGTAATATGTCGACTATAATGATTATTGAAAATATTTTAGATCCATTAGGACCAGAGCCTAACGTGGGTATTTTTATCGAAGAACACAAGAAAAGGGCCGACAGCGATCCGAATGCCCCACCCTTCGACGATTTACGAAATTATGCGTACGAAGGAGGTGGAAGTACCGCCGGTTCGCTTTCGTCTTTGGCTTCGGGTATGTTTCGATCGTAAAGAATAAAATAAAATAAAAAAAGAAAGGGGAACGAATGATGATTCTACAAGAATAAGAAGAAGAAGAAGAAAAGGTTAATTATAAAACGATTATTTTCAGGAACAGATGACGAACAACACGAGTATGAATACTTGGGCGCTTGGGGTCCTAGATTCGACAAACTTGCAGACATGTACGGTCCTACGACAGAAGAAAGCGAAGAAGAGGATTAGATGATATCTTTTGTCGATTAATTAATTAATGTCCATCGAATTTTGTCCCCACGATCCAAATTTTGGAAGTATTCGTGTCCGTTGTAAAAAAAAAAAAACAACCAAACGAAGAATGAACGAAGAAGAGAAAAGGGATAGAAGGAATAAAATAAGGAATGGAAGAAGAAGAAGAAGAAGAAGAAACCGCGAAAGTAGAAAACTTTCCTCTGCAAGATTTTTTAGGGTGAGATTCGAATGATCGATAAAATAATAAAATAGTTCGTCGAGATCTCGAGAGGAAGAAAAGGAGGAGGAGGGGAAAGGAAGGTTCGTAAAAGAATAAAAGACTATGTCATATTAGAGTGTGTAAGTGATCGAAAAGGAAAGAAAGAAAGTAAATAAGGTGCACCGATGCAACGATCGGTGAGAAAGTTCAAAACACATAGTTCCAAAGTGATCTCAGCGAGAGCTATTACTACGTCTGTCGCATTATGAACGTTGCAATAATTTTTCGAGTCATACCTAAACGAATGGTATACGTATGTAGGTGGTACATAAAAAAAAATATACAGCGATACACATACCTATGTATCTGTATAATACATTACACGTATACGTAGTCGATCCAAAGTGCGTGTATACGTGAAACTTTTTTATCGATTTTATCATCGACTTATATATTTATTATTTACGACATTAGTTCTTCATCATATCACGTCACGCATAAGTCTTTTTATTTTTCCATCGGAATTACAGTTAAACACCATTGCATTATCATTGTTTCGCCATTTCGCGAACGGACCTATCGTCGTTATCTATCAACAAACGAAAAGCAATTATTATCTCACCTATCGTTTTTTATCATTCCTCCAAAGATGACCACGAAAAGGATTAACAAATGGAGGACTCGTTAATCGTTTAAGATTTTAATCGAGATAACCATAGTGAAAATATGTCATTATTATTATTACATCTATTGTCTCATTGTCATTATTATCATTATTATATGTTTTATTATTATTATTATTATTATTATT